CACACACACACACACACTAAAGGAGGGAATCTTGAGCAAACCGACAGTTTAATTCAGAATCAGAGGCACTGACTCCTTTATTTACCCACTGAGCTACAAATGACACATAACTGACAGCTAACTTAAGCTAACTACGCTCAGGCAGTATCGAGGTATACAGACCTTGTGATCCACACTGCGCTAACGTTACTATAGTTCAGTTATTTTACAATCCCAGAATGCTAAAAATGTAAAATTAATTTGGATTATTGCATGGAACAAAAGAGGGGGGGGGGGGGTGTACAGTCCAGTATGGACCTGGCCTTGCGGGGAACCTGCTGGTCATAAATAGCCATCAGAGGGACACCTATCACCTTCCCAGCAACCATAACAATGTGGTTCAGGTGGTTTTCCCCTCTCGTCGCTCTTGAGGCGAGACCCTGCCGTTGACCTTTTACCTTTCACGAGAGTAGAGACGCTGCTAGCAGCAAAGCTTCAGTCAACACATCGACCGGTTCTTGCTACATTCAGATCGATCCCGGGGTCCGCATACCGATGTAGTCGCCTCTGTAACGTTAAAACCGATTTCTGACTGCTGCACTGCGTCCTCACACTGAAGCTCAGTCAGTGTTAAACAACGTTATTTTTGGCATTTGTGAATCTATTCAGCATCATATAAAGATTGTTATGTGTATTGATTTATTCTCACCCACTCCAGACAGTCATCATCCAGTTTTATCCTCCTGACTCACTCATTATCAACCTGTACACACTCGTCTCTTTGTCTGTCTGTTTCTGTGTCTCAATGTCACTCTGAAGGTCGCTGCTGTTTATCTAAGAGTTATGCAACCGCCCATTGTGAAGGTAAGTGGGTCTCTCACACACACACACAGACTCATGATTAGTGTTTCCATGGCAACAGAGAGTGCAGCATCTCTCCTCCGGCACCATAGCTACAGAGGAATCTGCCGCTCCTCATCCATCATTCACTTACTGTCTGTTTGCTCTGACCTCTGACCTCCTCAGTATTAGTCGCCTGTGACCTTTGAGAGGGACCTTCTTTTATAAAGACCATCATGTCGGTGAGCCTCGGCGAGAGAGCAGAAGTGCTTACTCACTCCAGCCTCCAGAAATCTCTAATCTGCAGCCTTCAGCTGCGGGAGTTTAACTGGTCATCAGACTGAGGCTCTCAGATTCGAGCTAACATTACAGGAGTCTGGTGATGCTAATGAAGTGAACACACACTTCGTATCCGGCTTCTGACGGTGTTAGATTGCATCAAAAACACCTTCAGACTCCAAAACCCTCCTCACTGACTTCACACTTTAATCCATCTCCTTGCAAAAGACAACAGTAAGGTGTAACCCACGCAGGCCGATCAGAGAGCGTCAGTGACACCTGTAGCACAAACTGGACAGATGATACAGCCCAGAGAAGATGCAGTCAGAGTACAGTGGCCTGGAGGTCCCAATTGAGAGAGAAAATGTCATAAAATTGTTGCTCTCCTGGAGTATCGTATCCTGACAACATGCTGCTGAGGTGCAAACAGCGGGTGCAGATGTTCTGATGTGTGTTGCTCTTAAGACTCTTTTAAAGATTGAAGAGACATTTAAACATTTCTACAGGAGGTAAGGAGATTTTGTATTTTTACAACCTTCCCTAATCCTTTAACACATCACACTAGGTCTGCCTAGGATCTTATAGCTTTAATAAACAAAATCTGTCTCCAGAGTCAGAGTCCTGGTCGGAACCGCTGTAAATCTTAATGTATTCTCTGACATCAAACTGGTCAAAATAAACCGTTAGTTCACAGAGTTAGATGTGAAAATTTTCTAGCCCTCTTCTTCCTCTTGGAGATCATTAAATTAGCGAAATAAAATGACAAAACTCGCCCCAAAAAAACTGGCTGATATATTCGTACAATCGCCCCAACCCTGACGTCAACTTGCAAAATTAAAAATGTCATTATTAAATCACCAGAATACACAGATTCTCTTTCCTACAACACAGGAAACAATGTGTTTCTGCTTCACTTGAAATAAACAGAAGAAGCTAACTAGCATGAGAAGCTCAGTCTGTGACGGCATCAAAGCCCCACACAACCTTCCCATTTCCCTTCTTTGTCAGCCAATCAGGGAGCAGATTACTCACCACGGTGACTAGGTGGCGTGCAGACACCACAGCGTGCTCCGGCTGCACCTGGTGATGCGGCCGCGCCAGCAGGTTGAGGGTTTGCTGGCCGCTGGGCTCCTGACGAAAGCGAGAGTCCAAGAGGGCGGCAGGCATCACTTTGGCCAACCTGGCAGGGTGCTGACGGTGGTGAAGATGATGATGATGATGATGGTGGAGGTGGTGGGGGTGGGACTCTGGAGGGTCGTCCACATCAGGCTGTGGGTTCAAGTCGTGTTGGGGGTGCAGAGGTGGAGGGAGACGGCTGGAGCGGCGAGACGGGAAGAGACGAAGCTCGTGGTCACCAGAAGACGACTCTGAGGAGGAGAAGAAGATGTGAGGTGAGATGAAGATGATAGTTGGTAGCTGGTTGTTCATAGTGACTTTTGAAACAATGCTGATTCAGGTACATAAAAGCAACTTCTCCTTTTCAGTCGGCTAATAATTACAAATGCCTAAATGCCTACAGCTACTGCTGATAGGATTATAATCATACCGGCAGCAGGTTGTCCTCTACCTACAGCTCCACCCATCTGCAGCAGGTGACGTAGTTTAAAGAGTGAGACAGACTATGTAAGGATGCAGTTGGGGTGGATAACTGGGTCAAACAAACACACGACTTTCACCAGAGAGACCAGAGTATTTTTAATAAAAGCTGATATATTTATGGATATTAACACATTTTACTCATTTGATACTTGTACCGAATACTTGTTTAGGACTAGTACTCGCTCAACCCTAATATTTATACTTATTTATACCAAAATCATGATGTTTTCCGGAAACTAACCAAGTAGCTTTGTTGCCTAAACCTATGGCCGTTTCAGGACGTTAACCACGTAGCTCGTGCGACTGTATGAGATAGGAAGGTATGTAGATTTTACTCTTTTGTCTTCTTGACTAAGTATTATATGAACATACCTCTGGATATACACAACCTATCTAATCTTTTATATATGCATCCCTCCAACGCTGCACATTGAGCAGGACTCAGAGAGACAGCAGTGTAAGAGATGAGAGCAGGAGATCCCATCTGCCTGTCTCTCTCTCTCTGCTGTCACATCGTCTTCGGTCAGGATGGAGGCTTTCATCAGTCTGCAGGCGGAGAGGAAACCCCTGCACACCGACTGAACTCACCCAACCGTGATCAACATGAACACTGCATAATTCATTCTAAGTCTTTATTTATCTCAGCAGCATCCGGCTTCACATTCACAGATGTTCAGACGTGAACTGTCTATTTAAAGAAAACACAGACCAGAACCTTCAGGAGCTGGATCTGAGCACGGTCTGAACGATTTCAAGTGTTTGTTGGTTGCAAAGACAACGAGGACATGAAGGTTAATAAAAAGTTAATCTTCCCTTTTCAGGAATCAATAAAAATAAGTTCCTTTGGTATTTAGGAACTAAACACAGAGACTTCCATGGAAGATAACAGGAGAACAGGAGGGATCCTTTTTCTCCTGGTATAGTCGGACTCCATTTATTGTATTCCGTTGGTTTATTTAACATATACAGAGTTATATATTATATTATATTATATTATATTATATTATATTATATTATATGTAGCCCCTGGGCAGACGACAGAACAGGAGACCTTGATTTAATGTGAGAAAGGGAGCCTATAGCTTTTGAAGCACACCTTCTAGCAGACACCATCATCACAGGTCACACAGAGGCAGGCCTCAACTCGCCTGGGGCAAGTAAACGCCTCTTCGGGTTAGTAAATCCAGCAACTCACTTCTCTGATCGGTCAAGTGTTAAAAAAGAATGAAACAACAGTTTCTTGTAGCAGAGGAGTAAGCCATCTCACTTCCTTCCCATCTCTGTTGACAGTCGCACATGCTCAGTACCGATCATGGTTTATGAGCTGAAGCACAAACGAGTATTTCAATTATCCTGGAAACAGGAGTTTAGTTGGGCGGCGTTAAGAGGATGTGGGCAGAAATCCAACTACTGTATGTATCACTCAGTTTGATTCAATTTGAGAACAATACAGATTTTTCAAAGGCAGGTCAAGTTTCCAAAGACTGTCAGTTGAGTTTCCTGCATGATAGCTAATCGGGTCTTTGCTGTTATTTGATAACCACTAATAAAAATAAAACTATTTGTAAAGGGGCAAGTAAGAGATTAGATTTAGATAGCAGATTTCTGACCTTCTTGCCTAACCGGGTAATTGAAATAAAAACACGGCACCTATTTCCTGCTTATCTCAACGGATGCTTCCACTACCATGCTGCAACCCTGTGGGCCGCAACCCGCCCAATAGTTGTTTCTGTTTGGATAAAAGTGGTGGACGAACCAAGCAGCAACCTCCGTGGCTAAGTAACAAGGCTGGCTCCAGCAGTGAGTCAGTCTCCTTAAAGGCCTCATAATAAATCCACGACACGACCACACGACTAATCTAAAATATTATAAAAATCACAATATGGCCAAGTGCAATATCCAGATCTGAGAATCTGCAATTAATAAAGTTAAAATGTGGGACAAACAGTAGTAGCACTGTAGTGCTGCAGAGATACACAGGCCTACAAAGCTTTAAGGAAACATGTTTGTTTGATACAGACCCCAAAAAACTGTCACATCATCATGATTTTTTAAAGTGAAAATTACATTTGTGATGCTAAAACGATCATTCCCACACTAATAATGAATCATATCACAATATCAGTCAATATAATATGTGTAAGATGATGTTTTTACCATATCGTGCAGCCCTAATTAGCATGGCTAAAATGACAACACTGTGAAAGAAACATGATGAATCATGGTCATTGCAGCAGGTGTTTCTCGAAGGTTTAATAAAACCTGAGTGATCTGAGCAGAGCTGATGCTGGAGGTTTCTCATACAGCTTCAGTCTGACCTGCACACAGTCCGAGCTGACAGACCGCTCGTCTGTTCGCTCTGGCAGAGAAAGGAAGAGAATATCTGTCTGCCAGCCCATGACAGCACTATTTTTCTTGGCTGCATCTGTGCCGAAGATCTGCTGTGCAAGTACTTCTGACTGGTGGTTGTCTTGGAGAGTTGTTTTGGTTGTCTGTGAGGGAGCTTAAAGCCCGCTCAGAGGCTGTCGACTCAAAAATAAATGCACGCGTTATAATTGTGCTGTGCTGAATTGAAAACAGGTTTCAGCTGACTGAATCAGCCCTTTGAGCTGACACAGCTTCTCTCTCCATCTCTCTGGCTTCTTTTCTCCCTAGCGACAGCGTCCTGGTTGCTATGCACGACACTGGGCTGAGCCGCGCTCTGATTGGACAGCAGAGTCGGCCCTTCCTCGCCCCGGAGGGAGCTGTCGGCCAATGGCAGGAGGAGTTGAAGAGGGCTGACCCGGTAACTCTGTGGGGAGACACTCCCCAGCAAACACAGTCTGTCTGCAGGTGATGTTAGAAAATGAATAAACATCCAGACATTCCTGCGTTTGGACTTTAAAATGTCGCAGCTCCAGTTTCAGCATCAGCATTCATTACGCTGTTCCAGTTACACAAATAAGCTTCAGTATTTACTGTACATAAAGCAGGAAAAGGGTCTGCAGTTTAAGTATAATTAAAGTAAAAACACTATGTGAACATGCCTTTTGCTACGTTGAAAAGACAGTTTTTAGGGATCCGATCTGCAGTGGAAGAATTTTCTATTAATTCTGTATTTAATGTTTGTGTTTGAACCCCTAACTGCTTCATAGCAGATGTTAAAGGTTAAAGGTTTTTGCTCAGATTTTATGCATATTGTGGACAGTTTTCCTAAAAGTTGATTAAAATCAATCCCAACATATCACTGGTTCCCAACCTTTTTCCTTTAAGAGACTCGTTTTCTATCAGTGAGTAAACTAAGTGACATATTGTAGATTATATTCAATGCAGAACAATAACAGTAGAGAACAACGGATGAACTGTGCAATGAACCCAAATAGTGTGAAATCAAGCGTTTTGATGAATTCTGTGCAGATTATTTTGAGTATTGAGACGAAAGATGATTTTTCCTGATTCTCCTTTAGGAACTTTTTATACAATTCTCAGTCTGTATTATGTATTTTAAAAAATTTTAACAATCATACAAACTTAACAGGTGTCTTTTCTGATAAATGAGGTGTTTTCTTCTCCCGGATGTTTGGCCATTGTTAGCTCTAATGCAGGACGAGGCTGTTTATCAGAGAGTGAAGCCAATAAACAGCCTTATTTTCTTACTTACGTACAGTGACGAATATTAAAAGGAGGACCACAATAAAGCAAAAGGCCCCCAATCTAGAGCCAGTGTTTGGTTTGTCTGTTCTGGGCTACTGTAGAAACATGTCGACCTGCGTTGCCTTTAGAGAAACATTCTACGGTAACAAAAACACAACGATTCTTATTTTCAGCTGATTATAAACTTATTAAAATATGAATATTATATTTCTGACAATAGATCCTCCTCAGTGTGACATTTTCAACAGGACTGAAGTCGCTGTTTTAGAGTATTTTGGCATTTTGTGCTGCAGTTTTAAATAATCCTTAAAGATAAGGAAGGTGTGGAGTTTAAATTTGTTTTTTGAGTTATGGTTAAACTCAAAAATTTCCTTTTATTAAAACGTACAACAAGGAGTTTTTAAACTGGTTATGAAACAGTTTATTACTGATGCCTTTGTATGACCTACATGAACAAAAAAGACCATCAGACAGAAGATTTGTTATTTCTATATAGTTACAGTCTGGTTTACCTCAGAGCACTGAATAGGAAATGATTACTCAAAGACTGATTGATTCATGAATAATTGAAATGCTCGTTAATGTGAGTAGACTTCATCAGAAGCTATTTCACAGTGAATTCCTCTACGGTATCACCACATCATCCCTGCTGTCATGTATTCACAACAGTGAACACATTAAGCATAACTGATGGCATTTCTCATCACATCCCGCAAAGGATCCCTACAGATTATATCATATATCAGATATTGATTTACAGTAAGCCTTGTGAGGATTTCTACCTTCTTTTTCCCTTTTAGTGACAACCAACTACAACATACTGTTATTATATTCCTGTCATATTCTTGTGGAGGGATTGAGCTTCTGTTGTGAGGGTTTTAATGTACAATTCCCCCCCAAAGAACAGAACAGCAGCTTTTAGGGGTGTAACAAACATTATTCAAGTATTTATTGATCACAGAGAACATAAAAAAAATATCTGTAATTGCAATGGATACATTGCCATCGCATGTTAAAGAGGTTATTTAGCTTTTTTTAAATCAGAGCAACACAGATCCGCAGTTTGCAGGCAAGCAAATGGTCACATCTGAGGAGCTTTCTGGCATTTATGGTGATTTCTACAAGGTTAATGACAGAAAGGACAATTTAATGACCCAAACAAGAGCAATCCACTGATCTGAGCACTACTGCTGCTAGCTTGTGTTTTTAAGGCAGCATCCACACAACAGACGCTTACCTGTGATCAGCAGCTGTGTCCATATCAGACACAAGAAAAGAAACATGGTGAGAAATCCTCCTCTTCCTCTTCTGTGGCTCATCCTTCCTCTCTCTGCAGCTCAAACTGAAACAAATGTTCCTCTGCAGCTTCTCTCAGTGCTGTATTAAAGCATCAAGCAAAGCAGACGGTGTATATTTCATCTATCTGTGGCTCCGCAGCATGCAGCATGAGGGAGGAGACGCTGCCAGAGCTCCAGAGATCCGCTCCAACACCGGCACCCCGCGACGCTCCTTCCCCGCCCTTCGGTGTCCTACAGCGGCCTGGCGAGAGGAGGAACAGCCGGTGTGCAGCAGCGGCTCCGGGAGAGGCTTTTTTCCATCTGAGATTCAGAGACCGAGCAGAGGTGTGTGAGGAGCCGGGGTTCAGGTGGAGGGAGCCGGGCTGCTGATGAGGAGGAGGAGGAGGAGGAGGAGAGAGGAAGGGGAGGAGAAAAGGCGTGGTGGAGAAGAGAGGAGGAATAATCCTTAATTTATAGATTTATATTTATTTAATTTAAAAAAATACTGATTTACTTTGTTGATATGAAAATAATTATTTAAACAAAATGAAAAATATATAAATATTTTAGCGGCGTTTCCGTTCACCTGAAAGTCCGGAAGTAAACATTTCTTCAACTAAATATATTGATTGATTGCCATTAATCAATCAATCAATATGTAAATGTAAATAATACAAATATAAACCCACCAAATGTCAAAGTATGGCCACAAAATCTGAACCTTAACGGCAGAATAGCAGTTATTATCATAAATAAGTTCAATAAAGTATATTGCTTTATTATCAGTATTTATTATGGAAACTCTGTTTGACACTATTTTGACTTTGTGATTCTAAATCATTGACCTTATGAATAAAAGAAGTATAAAACAATGTGTGTACAGCTGCAGCAGTCGGTGTCTGGCTGACTGTATCTGTCTGCTCCATCTGATCATCAGTAATCAATAATTCATCCTCAACATCAGCAACGTCACACTAACCTCAGCTTGTAGATCATCATTACATCATTACATCATTACATCCTTCATCATCATATTTCCTGATTTACTGTCCTCTACTGTCCTCTACTGTCCTCTACTGTCCTCTATTTCAATACTCTACTGTCCTCTACTACAATACGTCACTGTTTAATAGTGTGTTTCTTTACTGCACTCTACTGTGTTTCTTTACTGCACTCTACTGTGTTTCTCTGTGTATTTAAATGCTTTTTGTAGTACATCTCCTCCTCAGTATTATTCCTTAAGGAGCTTCCTATTCCTCCCATCTTTTACAGGAAGCCCTGCCCATCGTCTGGCCCTAACTGACTCCTCGTTTCACTTTCGCCACCTGCCCCGAACAACAGCCGACTCACACCAACATCTCTGCACATTCTGATGTTTCTCTGCTCTAACCAGCAGCAGCAGCAGCATGATTCTGGTCAACTGCTGTTTCTTCATCAGCTCCAACATCATCTTCGCAGTGAGTAACTGGACTTTAAAGCAGAAAAACACAAATGCATAAAAAAACACTTTTACATAAGTATTATTTAACTGTTCAATTATCAAATTAAAATCCGCTAATCAGAAAGTGTTAATGTCTTTCTGTTAGATACTTGTGGTATTTCTCTGTTATTATATTTCTTTGTTGTTTTGTTGTTTTCTTTTTAAATGATGGCTGCCTCTCAGTGCTTCCTCGAGTATAAATAAAGGTTGAATTGTATTTAAAAAAAGGTTTAGTTTATCTTAACAAGCTTTTGAAGAAAACATAAGTGCATAGAGAAGATGACACATGAAGATTTGCAGCCCCAACAGGGAGAACATGAGCGACCTCTGCTGGTGAAATGGATGCGGTGCATTTATTTAAACAACAGTAAATGGGATTGAGTCAAAATATGGGATTTGTTGACAGAAGAAAAATATAAAGTCACCAGATTGACCTTTAAATAACATAAGATCAGCTCTCTGACATAAACGGTTAACTGATTTTTACAGATTGTTGACAGGTTATTCTATTATTCTCTTTGATATAATTTGTTTTTCTTGGATTTGATTCTGAGTCCTGCTGCCCTCTCATGTTTCAGATTGTGGTCGGACTCTCCATCATCCCCATAGCTCGGCGGTCTCCGTTTCTGGACGACTTACATGGAGGAACTTTTGTAAGACAGAAACAACAGAGTTCAATATGAACACAATGTTCACAGTTTCAAGGTTGAATGACACGTTTCCTCTAAACGGTGTGCAACAGACTTGGGTGTGTCCGAGGTGTTACCCAATCTGCAGCGTCGTGGCAGTGCGTACACAGAAGGGTGAAGGCACCACTGTTCACAGTTAAAGCTGAAGGAGGAGTCATATTTGCTGAAACATTCACT